GTGCCATGGAAACAAACCCTCATCCTGATTTATGGCCTTGGCTCCATCCAAGCATCACTTGTGCTGTCCTGAGCTGAACCACAGCTGGGAACTGGATCCTGACTGAGCCATGCAATGGCACATGCATCTCACCAGGCAGGGGAGATTAACCCTCCCAATTAACCCTCCCAATTAGCCCTCCCAATTAACCAAGGAGCTGTTGGATCCTCTCTCAGCAGCCTGGCCATGCCATGGGTGACCAAAGTGTCCCCAGGGGCCACAGACAGCTCCGTGTGTGCCATGAGATAAGTCAGCCCTGTTTTCATCCAGGGATCACTGTTGGCTCATGTGCTGTTCCAGGATGTCCAGAAAAGAGGGAGCAAGCTGCCAGAAAAGTGATTAGTGGGTGACATCTCTCCAGATCCAGGGGACTGCTGACCTGGAAGTCCTGCTGGTGGCCAAAGGAGTGGCCCTGACAGCCTGGATGTCATTATTGGTGTCCCCACCTTCTGCAGGAACGTTTTCCATCCTGGGTGAATTCCTGCAGGGAAAAATTAACTGAGGAGGAGAACTTCACGTGGTGAGAGCCCCCCTGGAATCCTGCACCCAGCTCTGGAGCCAGCACTGCCAGGACCTGGAGCTGCTGGAGTATTGTATTTGTGGGGTTCCCAGGTGAAGGGAGGAATGATGAACCTGACTCCATGTTCTCAGAAGGCTAATTGATTATTTTATGATACTGTATTATATTAAAGAATACTAAACTAAACTATACTAAAGAATACAGCAAGGATACTTACAGAAGGCTAAAAGGATAATAATGAAAACTCGTGACTCTCTCCAGAGTCTGACACAGCTTGGCCCTGATTGGCCAAAGAGTCAAAATAATTCACATGAAACCAATGAAACAATCACCTGTGGGTAAACAATCCCCAAACACATTCCAAAGCAGCAAAACACAGGAGAAGCAAATGAGATAAGAATTGTTTTCCTTATTCTTTGAGGCTTCTCAGCTTCCCTGGAGCAAAATCACGAGCAAAGGGATTTTCCCAGAAAATGTGAGTGTGACAGCTGGAGAGGGTCCAAAGGAGGCTCCAGGGTGGGCAGAGGGATGGGGCAGCTCTGCTGGGAGAGCTGGGATTGTTCACCTGGACAGGAGATTTGGGGTGAACTCAGTGTGGCCTTGCAGGGCCTGAAGGAGCTGCAGGAAAGATGGGGAGAGAGAATTTCCAGGGGATGGAGAACCCCTGAGTTAGTGCATTGCTTTTGGGTGACCTGGCACTGAATTGAAATCCACTCTGCCAAAATTCTGTTCCCTGCAAAGGGAGGAAGACAAAATCCACTTTTCCCACTTTCCCAAGCCCCAGGGGTCAGGACAACTTTGGCTTTTGCTACCTGCATTCCTGGGGAATGCTCTTTGTTCTCCAATTCAATCCTTTGATTTATTTATTTTATTTAACCCAAATGCTCATGCAAATTTAACCCTGCCCAAGGAAATGGCAAAATCCAGCCCCCAAATCTACTGCTCCTAAGGCAGCACAAAATAACAAACTGCCTGGTAAACTGGCACTGTTGGGTGTCTTTTCCAAATGCCATCTGCAAGGGCTATACTTAGAACATCTCCTTTTCCCCAACTCACTTAACAGCAATAAAAAGATCAAAAAACAAAATTCCAAGCGTAAATTTTCTGTAGCAATAAATGCTAAGAGCTGCACTGAGGCAGGAGAAGGATTTGCCTTGCAGAATTCTTGGGATGAATCCTGCTCTGTGCACAGTGATATGGCAGCCCTGTTAATTGATTATTTATTGTCATTAAATATTGATTATCAGTGGTTCCTGCTGGCAGGCACTTCCCTGCTTGCTGCACAACGAGCTCTGTGCCTTGCTGCTGCTAGGATGGGGTTTTTTCATCAGTTAAATGTTCAGTCTCATGAATTTTCATGTTTTGGCACTGACTGACATCTGCATAGTAATTCCGTGTGCATTTCACTAATGCAATTTTCTACCTGGTGCATTTAAAAATCCCCAGAGTGAATAAAGATGTCTTAACCAAGGGTCCTGTCCTCACTCCACTGGGGAAATGCTTGAATTTATGCCCAATTTTATGGGTGTTTCCTAAATTCTGTGACCTAGCGCACAACTCCTCAGCCTGACAGAGCTGGACATTGCCTGAGTGTTAGAAACAGATTGTGGATGATGTACAGAGAAAAATGTACAGGAGGAGATGGAACAGCAGGGAAAAGTACCTGAGAAATCTTCATTGCAGCAGAATTCATTCACTCAAAATTAATTAGCACCATGACACATAAGTGGGGAAGGAATTTCTGAGCAGTTTTATGCTGTGGATCCAGTGTTTGCACCAGGGAAGAACAAGCCACAGTCATGAGGCAAAATTAATCAAATCTCTGCATTCTGAAAGAAATAAATTCGGGATGAACTCCTCTTTTTTTATCTTTCTCCAAAATTAAATGATTCAAGGCAGCAGTTTGCAGAAGGAGAATAAGGGATTTCTAAGTCTGCAGGAACATGAGAAAACCCATCCATTTTTATAAAGAATTAGTCTCTTATTTCACTCATTACCTGTTGACTTCCATGGTAAATACTGCTTCCTGAAATTAAGTAGTTTTTTATCCTTTAATTTGGGAAGTCCCAGAGATGTTTAGCAGATTTCAGCCGTAATGAAATAATTTCCTGAAATTATTTTCCTTTTATTGCCAATATTATTGCTGTTATTTCTTAGGAAGAGCCAAGGGTTTCATGCTGCAGATAAATAAGAGAAATGTAACTTTCTTTTCAAATGTCAGGATGGCATTTTGGGGAAAACTGAGTTAAAAATTTGTGATTTGTGTTTGCAGGGGACTAAAAGCAAGGAGCTCATTGTAGGGCTGCACAATGAGAGTTTTGATGAGATTAAAATACAACAATAATCCACTTAAATTATTAACAACAGGCTGGTGCTTCAAAGTGACCCTTGGCTCTTATCTTCCCCAGAAATAATAGCAAAAATATTGGCATTAAAAGGAAAAGAGCTTCAGTGACAGCTTATTAAAGAGGTTTCTGACAGATTGGAATGTGGATGAAGATAAATTTAGTGCTGCATTTCCTTGTGGTGAGGGCTAATGGTCAGCAGAGCCCAGGGAAAGGAAAGGATTCCTGTCAAACCAACCAGGGCCCACATTTACACATTAAAAAGGGGGAAACGAGTTGGGTTTTTTTTCTTTTTTCTGGAGATAGCACCGAGTGGGAAACCTGAACAATGAGATTTTCTGGCACATTCTTGGAATGCATTGCCCACATGGGAATTAAAGTGCATTTTCTCTTTGAACCCTGGCGTGTGTAAGGGATTTATGCTGTTCAAAGGGAAGATGTAAGTGGCCTCTAATATCCTCATTCATCAAAGAATAAGCACAGGCTTAAATCCACCTTGACTTAGCCAAGCTCTCAGGAATGTGTTTACCTGCAGGAATTTGCCAGTGACTGATGAAACCAGCAGTGAGTGTTTACAGGTCCTGCCAGGATTAGAAGAAACGTCTAAACTTGTTGAAAAGCCATCTAAAGTGGCCCTGTCATTTCTTCCAAATGTCTTTGAAACCCAGCCAAGCCTCTCTGGGCTTGTTTATTATTGTAATTTTTTAATCCCGGGCTTAGAAGTCACTCGATGCTTCCAGCGTTAGTACTGAACAAAAGTGCATTTCTCGGTAACTCTGCAGCCTGGGCTTTGCCATGAGCTGCTGCTCTCTGGGGATTTCATGGCATGGTTTGGGCTGGAGGGATCCTAAAGCTCATCCTGTTCCATCCCTCCCACTGTGCCAGGATGCTCCAGCCTGGCCTTGGGCACTGCCAGGGATCCAGGGCAGCCCCAGCTGCTCTGGGCACCTGTGCCAGGGCCTGCCCACCCTGCCAGGGAGGAATTCCTGCCCAATATCCCATGTAACCCTCCTCAATCTCAGTGTGAAGCCATTCCCTGTGTCCTGTCCCTCCATCCCTTGTCCAAACTCTCTCTCCATCTTTCCTGCAGCTCCTTCAGACCCTGTGAGGCCACACTGAGCTCACCCCAAAGCTTCTCCTGTCCAGGTGAGCAATCCCAGCCCTCCCAGCATTTCCTCATAGGAGAGATGCTCCATCCCTCTGATCAGCCTGGTGGCCTCAAGGTCGTATTCCAGAGTTACCTCAGAATATTCCTCTAATTTCTGGTGTGTTTTGGTGCATGGGGGTGGAAGGTCCTGCTGTTTCTGGGTGGAGCTGTTTTATTTTATGCATTCTGTAAAAAAAGCTCTGTGAAAAGGAGCGGGAAGTGTAAAATCCCAAAGTGAGGAGTGCAGACTTGCCTCCTCTGTCCCCAGTGAATCAGTCCTTCAGCTGGAGAGCCCTCCAAAATCCACTCCATCAATTCGTATTTCACAAAGCCTCACAAAGTATAATCACCCCTTCAAGCAAGGGCTGCGAGCACCATGCTGCCACCACGTCGCTCCTGGAGGAGCCACAAGTCCAAACCAGGCAGGGGCCACTTCCAGCAGAGGTGGATTTAGCCTCGATAATCTTTCCCAACCCAAATGATTCTTTGATTCTGTGACCTAAATAAATATGGGCAGCTCTTCCCCACAGCCCTGCCCAGCTGGGGCTGCTCTCCCTGGTGTGCTCCATGGTGTGTCCCTGCTCTGCCATCTTTGCTGTCCCATTTGTGATTTCCACCTCAGGATAATTGCCAAAGTCAAAGCCCTGTGTCTGGCTGACCTCCTTGGGCTGTATTTGTGGCTCTATTAAAAGCTGTTGTGCAGAGCTGAGCAGTCCCTTTTCCAGGCCATGGTATTTATAGCGTGGCACTGGCAGGTAACCCGTGTGGAGCCACCGGAGCCCCTCTCTGCTGCATCTCCGGAGTTCTTGGCACTGTTTGCACATTCCTGGAAAAGGAGAACTTGGAGCCACAGAAGGCACCCCCAGGGCCCGGTGCCAGGCGAGGTCTGTCCTTACTGCACCGTAAAAACACGGCTCAGGCTCCTGGGAGGCACGGGGCAGCAGCTCGGGTTACCCGTCCCTCGTCCTTGGGAGGGGGTTCCGGAGAATCCCGCCTGAATTTCAGGCGCCCGAAAGACTTTCTGGGAACGCCACTTCGCTGGGGAGAGCTCTGAGGCAGGCGGCCCAGCACGGAGGGGCTGCTCAGGGCGGTCTCGGCGGGGCCACCTGCAGCTGCGGGGCGGTGCGGGATGGGGGTGAGGCTGCGGGATGGGGCAGCGGGGGTCGCACGGGGAGTGCGGACGGGGAATGCGGGCAGCTCTGTCCCCGCCCCGGGGCGCTCGGGGTTTGGAGCGGGGCGGTGCGGGGGCGGTGCGGGGCTTTGCGGAGCGCTCCGGGAGAGGTGCGGATCGTTCAGAGGGCGATGCGGAGGGATGCGGGACACTCGGGGGCGGTGCGGATCGCTCCAGGAGTGCCGCGGATCGCTCCACAGCGCTGTGCGGGGCGGTGCGGGGTGTTCAGAGGGGCGGTGCGGATCGTTCAGAGGGGCGGTGCGGGGCGGTGCGGCGTGTTCAGCGGGGCGGTGCGGGGTGTTCAGAGGGGCGGTGCGGGGTGTTCAGAGCGGCGGTGCGGGGCGGTGCGGCGTGTTCAGAGGGGCGGTGCGGATCGCTCCGGAGGCGCTCCGGGGGCGGTGCGGATCGTTCAGAGGGGCGGTGCGGACTGTGCGGGGCGGTGCGGATCGTTCAGAGGGCCGGTGCGGAGAGAAGCGGCTCACTCAGGGGCGGTGCGGATCGCTCCGGGGCGGTGCGGTCCCGGCCGGGGCGGTGCGGGGCGTTCGGAGGGGCGGTGCGGTGGGAGGTGCGGTCCTTCCCAGGGCGGTGCTGTCCCTCCCGGGGCGGTGCTGTGTCCCTCCCAGGGCGGTGCTGTGTCCCTCCCAGGGCGGTGCAGTTCTCTCGCTGTCCCTCCCAGGGCGGTGCTGTTCTCTCGCTGTTCTCCCGGGTGCGGCCGGCCCCGCTCGGCCATGCGGGCGGGCTGAGCGGCGCCGCCGCCGCCTGTCCCGGGCGAGGATGGCCTCCAATTTCAACGACATCGTCAAGCAGGGCTACGTGCGCATCCGGAGCCGGCGGCTGGGGGTGAGTGCCCTGGAGAGCCTGCCCAGGGCTGGGCATTTTGCTATTTATTTCTTTTCCCTGCCACTCCTTTGTCCTCTTTTTGCAAACTGAGCTGGGTGGGTTTTTCCGCAGGAAACAAAAAGATGAGGAGAGAGGAATGAAGGCACCTGAATATGTACTATATCCAGGTGTGGATGGATATATTTATTTTCTGCTCTCTCTCCCTTCAGGAGCCGGGGATGCTGCGCTGCCTCCGCCGCCGTCCCTGCCCTTCGCTCCGAGCGCTGCTCCGGGAGGAACCCGGGGCCGGGGTCGGGGCTGGGGGTGCGGGTTGCTCCGGGCAGGGCTGGGCTGAGCGCCTGGAGCCGCTCGGCTGCTCCGGTTCCTGCTGCCACTCAGGGTCTGGGCTCCTGCGTGGGACAGCCGAAGCTTTGCGGTGTCTCCGGGGCTTTTAGAGTCGCTTGAATTGCGCGAAATGAAAATTCCCGCAGCTGCCCTTAGCTGCTGGTTTAATACTGAAGTTATTTCCAGGTTGTTCTGCTGCCGTGGCGTGTTCCCGGCTCCGGCTGTGCGCGCTGGATGTGCCGGGAGTGGCAGGGCAGCTCCCCGCAGGACCTGGGCTGGAACGAGCTCTGAAATTCCAGGGCTGCTCCTGCAGTCCAGGGGCTGCCCCGAGCGGGCAGGGGATGGCACCGGAGAGCTCCGTGTCCCTGGGGGAGCCTGGCCCACGAGGATGCACCTGGAGCGAGGCTTTGTGTGTATAGAGCATTTCAGTTGGTGTATCTGCCCCTCAGGACTGGAAAGAAACTGATTTGTTGTGTTTATTAAAAGCTCTTGGGTCGGCAGTTCGGGATTTGTTCGTTTCGGGGGAGTGTCTGTGGTCCCCTGAAAGCTTTTGCTGCCCCACTGCAATTACAGTTCCCTTCTCTCGCTGTACCTGTGGGCAGTGTCTTCTCCACAGTTTTAGAAGCTTGTGTCTCCCTGGCTGCTTTGGAAACAGGAAAGATTGAGAAATCTTCCACCAGGCTGGATTTCTCATCCCTGCACTGGCAGGCACAGCTCATTCTGTAAAACCATGGGATTCTGTGACATTTTGAGGGAATGTCATTCGGAGAGCGCTTGTAGTGAATTGAGCACAATTGTGTCCTGATTCAGTCTCATTACCGAACACATGTCAGTGTTCAGTTTGCTCTGGCATAAAGGATGAGTAAGATTAAACTGTGATGCATTTTTCCACGCTGTAACAGCAAGCTCAATGAATAAGGTTTGTCTAACCCCAGTAGTTGTGAATGCTGTCAGTGCTGGTGCTTTTCCTTTTTTAAGGCTTTCCAGAGCACTCTGAGGGTGCTGCTGCTGCTGAGGAAATGCTGGATGCCCTCTCAGGAGATGTGCATGTGACAGCTGTAAAAGAGTCATTTCTCTCCCTCCTCTACTCAGTGCACACTGGGAGGTGTCTCTTAAATCACCCTAAAAGACATTAAAAGCAAGACTTGAGTCTCCAGCCTGCTCTCCCTGCAAAACTGATGAGTTGGATGTGGTATCATTAGAAAGAGCATTATCTGAAATATTCTTCCTCTTTTTCATGGACCTACAGCCTACAAAGTGTAGGTTTGCTGGCTTGTTGGGGTTTTTTATAGATCTTACACAGGTTATAATTCAGGGCTGCTTAGTTTCCAGCTTGGGAAGAGCTGGCCCACGACTTGAGAGCAGATGTGGCTGCAGATTCTTCCTGTAGCATTTTCTGTAAGCTGCTCACAGCCCTGCTGTGCAGCAGCCAAGCAGAAATGGGTAATTATGATCAGTGTGGGTCTCTAAAGGCAGGGCTGGAGCCTGTCCCTGCTCCTTGGTGCCCCTTCCTCCTGGCTGCAGGGGTGATGGGACACCTGGAGCTGGCTGAGCTCCTGCCTTGAGCAAGAGCTGAATTCAGTCTCACTCAGTGGCTGCTGTGAGCTTGGCTCCCTCAGAGGATGAGGAATTTATGCCAACAGGTTGTTTTTGTGCTGGGCAGGGCTGTGGGACACCCAGGTGCTGGAAAAGGGAAAAAAAAAATACTTCAGAGTATAAAGAGTAACTTTCAGAGAACTTCCCCACGCTGTGAAACCATCAGGAAGGACCAGGCTGCTGCAGGATGCTGGCTAACTGAGAGGGATCTCAGCACCCCCTCCCTGTGTGCAGGATGTGAGTGGGAGCCACTGAAATCCATCCCCGTGTTCTGGTGGCACAGCTGTAGTCAGAGCATTGTCCCTCCAGGCTGGAGGCAGCTCCTGCCTTTGCCTCTCTAGTGCTGTGCTAATTCCATCTCCAAGGGAACTGGGAGCAGGGCTTGGAGGCACAAATTACCTGAGAAATGGCTTTCCTGAGGAGCTGGGGTGCAGGTGCTGCCTTTGGAATGAAAGGGGTGCAGAGAAGCAGCTTGCTCAAATCCCAGCCTCTTCTGAAAGGAACGTGACAGTTCTGGAAGGCCCTACTTTGTAATTCCAAAATTGAATTTAGGCTAATTAGTTTTGCACCTGAACTCTTTCTGCACGCTTCAAACGTGTGAGTTTAATTGAATATTATTTAATAGAATAGTTTCCATAGCAACATTTGTATCACATGTGTCTTCTGCAGAGCCAAATATATTCAGGAGAAAGCTCACTCTTCCCCACTCTTTCCATCCTTACAGGGAGGAAAATAATTCCCTCAGCCAGTGGGGCTGGTGTGTCATTAGCAGTGACACACAGGAGGCTGTGTGCTGGAAAACTGCTGACAGGGCAGAAGAACCACCTCCCAGAGTTCTTTAAACCAGGAAAAAAATCAGCTTTGCTCTGGGAGGAGGGATTCTGTCAGGGACCACCAGGAGCTGTGTGTGGGGAGGAGGACACTCAGTGCTTTTGTAGCTGATAAAGGCATTTATATCTATGCATGAAGCAGGGCTTCTCTCTGTCTAAAAAGTCCTTTTTGTGCTCATGATTTTCAGATCATGCCTCATTCTGTGGTACAGGTGTGACCTTCCTGAGGGGCAGTGCATCGTGGGGATGTTTCCCTGCTGGAAAACCTGTTCTTGGCTTTCCATTTTTGGGGTGGGGGGGATGCGAACACACCTGAGCTTTCTCTTTAGGTTGGGCTGGCTCAATTAAAAATACCAATTAAAATCAAAACAGGAGCAGATATTTGAGCTGGAGGGGTTTGCAGCACTGGTAAGCATGAGGAGCTGTACCAGGGAAAAGGGAGTTGAGGCTCTGTGGAGGGTGGGAGGCTCCAGTGCTCTGTGCTGCTTCCAGGCTCACTTTTTGGGCTGAACTTCTCCTTCCTGTGTCCACTCCTGAGCTCTGGTGGAAGATGTGACTGCTGGGACTACAGCAGTGGAGCTGTTCCCTCTTTAGTGTGACCCTCCTTGAGGACAGCAATGGGATCTGAGGGGGTCAGGTTTCTGTGCATGATGGGCCTGACTGCCCCAAAACATCTTCATCACATCAGGGGGAAGGAATGTGGTGTCAGGGGTGTCCTGCAGCATTCGGGGTTTCTAATAATTCAGCCTTCAGCTTGTGACAGGGGGGAGCTGAGGCTGCCACAGCTCTGCAGCCAGCTGTTTGTTCCTGGGAAATGCTGAAGCGGTGTCAGCAGTGCTCAAGTGTTTCTGGATTGATTAAAAAACTCAGCGGAAAAAAATAATTCTTAGTTTTCTGGATTGCCTGCTTTGCTTTGATTAGTGATTTTGTGGCAGTATTAAACTTTCACCTGAAGTGAGGAGGGTGTGGAGGGTGTGGAGCCTTCCTGTGTTTATTTGAGTGTTGGGTGAGGAGTTCCCTGTGCAAGGTTGAGCTGGGAGCATCCAGCACTTTTGTCCTGTGGGTTGTTCCTGAGGAAGCAGAGCACCAATGCTGGCTGCACACCCTCATTTTGGGTGGAAAAACTTCTGCCTCGTGCCTAGAAATTTGGAGAAACTCGTGCATAAAGCTCAGGGCTTGTCCAATTCAGCAGAAACGTTTGATTGTGGGAAGCTGCAGAGAGATTCAAGCTCTCAGGGTTTGCTGTGCTTGGTTTTAATTAGAGTGAGTCCTGTGGCAGCTTCATTGAGGAGCCTGGTGCTGCACGTTGCCTGTGACATGTACTTTGACAAGTTCTGCACAGCTCTGATGCTGTGAAACCCTGTGGGAGGAGAGGTAGAGTGGGGGAGAGACAATCTGCAGGACTGGAACCATATGGTGGGAAAGATTTGGTGCTTGAATACATGTGCCAGCAAGTTAATATGAGCATTTTAGAGCCTGAGCTGTGAAAACTGGAAAGAAGAATGATGTAAGGCTGGGGGAAGGGGGAAGGAGAAGGAAAAAAGTTGCCTGTCTCTTCATTTGAAGCAGCTTTATTAATAAAACTGTTCACCTCTGCAGCTCCTTTCAGTCTGGAAGTTGGAGAGAGGGAAAAACTGAACAGATTTCTCAGGCACCAACTGCAACCTGCAGGATATTAATCCCACTGGAAATTCAGAGTTCTCCCGAGCTGCCAGATAACGTGTTAGAATATATTCACAGATATTAAGATTTCTTATTGCTTGGAGCTTGTCAGTGGCAGCAGGGATGGGATCCAGAACATTCCTGGGGAAGTTGGAGCATTCTCCTGGAGCTGAGGAGGGGAGGGATCCCAGTAAAGACCAGAGCAGCTCTCTCTGGGCACTGGGACAGAAAACTCTTTGGGTTTTCTGTGGCATAGAGATGTGGGATGAGAGGCCAGGTCTGTGTCCTTGTGGGGTCAGCTCTGGGCTTGGAGAAGGGTTTGTCCTTTGGGTGCTGTCACCCCGTGTCACCCCTGTGCTGGGGGATCAGGGTGCTCAGCCTGGCTCTGGGGGAGGTAAAGGGAAGTGTTGGAGCTCCCATGCTGGAATTACATTTTGTTTCTTTTAGTGTTTGACTTGTGGGAACAGCATGGAGTGAAGAGGGTCTTAATTTGTTCGCAAAGAACCCCTCCAAAACCCAAAAAGGACAAACCTCAGAACTACTCCTGGTTTTCCCCCAAAACATTGTACAGATCATGATTTGGAGTAT